TCCTGTGGGTAAATGATCACTGGAGCAGCTTGCTCCGTCACCTTCAATGTATTTTTGAAACTATTTCGGTGCTTTTTAAAAGTAAAGTCTTGAAGGAAACCAAACTTCAACTCTTTCTAACAGTGTTCATGTTTGCTTTTCTTCCCCCTGGTTCTGGTCCCAGGACTGAAGGGCTCCCTCCAGAGGCTGCAGCTGGAGTACGTGGATGTGGTCTTTGCAAATCGTCCAGACAGCAACACCCCCATGGAAGGTCAGTGAAGAAATTGAATAAAAAACTAAAGAATTACTGCAAATTTATTCTACTCACAGTCCAAATAGTGAATAGAAAATGAAATATGTTTACATTGATTTCATTGAATATGAAAAATTGACCTTTTTAATGGATGCCTTTCACCCTCAGTATTTACCCTGAAAGCCTCTGTGTTGTGTATCCTGCGTGTTCTTCTTTTCTTTTTCTTCTTCTCCTTTTCCTTCCCTTTCTTCTCCTTCTTCTCCCTCATTTTCTTCTTATTCTTTGCAGTCAAAGGCACTAGGTTTATAGCCCCTGCTGGTTACAGTGCTCATTTTGTCCAAGTTCATTTCACTTTACAATTTCGTCAACTAAAACAATATACTTACTTAGGGGGAGAGTTTATAACCCAGGCATCAATATTTTGGAGCGAGTCCCCTATTGGAGTGACTGTTCTTATTTCGCGATGACTGTAAGTCTGATAGTTTCCACCCTGTAGTAACAAACGCTAAATGGTGCTGTGGGCAGAGATGTGACAGGAGCAACAACTCGAAATAGGACTGTTGCTTGTTGACCCTCAAGGAGCTACAACATCCTGGTCTTTTTCAGTTCCAATTGTTAGAACAGTGTAAGCTTCACTCTATGGAAGTTTTTAGATTGTTCCTTAAGCCAGATTTTCTGCGGCATACATTTGTTTATTAAACCTTCTTAGAAAATGGTTTGGGGGGGGGACAGTGTTTTTTTAAATGTTCTAATTAATTTAGGTTTACAATCATATATTATTATTTACCTGAGAAGACTAAAAGTAGAGATATTTGAGGATAAGGAAAATTAGAAATGTTTTGGTTGAGTTTTATACTACAATATCAATTATCAGTTTTCAAATAATAACAGTGTAATTCACATAAATTAAATTACAGGTAATTTTATATTTAATGATCCAAAGATAGTTCAGGTTGTTGTAATAAATGGACTTCTGTGGGATTTATTCTTTTTATAGGGTTGTAAAAGATATGGCGAAGTATAAATAATTAATGTAAACATGAATTTTTCTAGGTTAAACTGAGCATAAAAAAGTGATAGAAACTACTTTACCATTTTGTGTCACTTATTTCTTTGCACTTATTTCTTTCTCAGCTACAGAGAACTGTTAAATCTATTACCTATGTACTCACCTATATCTTATTTCTTCCTAAAGTTTTCTACTTTCTTGATTCTGAAAAATTAGGACTTTACTATAAAGTAGTATCATTGTTGGAAATTACCCATTGAAAGGACATAAGGATCCACGCCTATTTTGTCAAAGCCAAGATTAGGTGTGTTAAGCAAATCTTAAACATTTGCTTCTTTCAAGGACAGTATAGTGTCACACAATTCTCAAAGACAAGTGAAATCATCACTGAAGCAATTGAGTCAGCAAAAGTGTTGAAAATGCCATTGAGTGAGGTCTATGAAAAACAAGGATTACTTCACATTTTAAGCACCTAGTGACTATTTCCTTTTTTGGAATAGTGTCATTGGCAATTATACCATATATATGGTCAGGATAGAACATATGAAGTTTTTCAGCTGTTTCCCCCTGCCCCAACCCTACCTTTACTGTTACAGCTATACTGTAGTAATATTTCAAACAGTAGGTATAATTTACATTCAATAAAAGGAGGAATGCATTAGAGTCTCTCAAACAAAAATTTTGTTTTATATATTGGAGGAAATTCTTAAACTCTAACACAAACTAGATAATAGTATCTTAGTTGGGTTCTGTAAGCCTAGCTGGTCAAGAAACTGAGGCAAGAGGACAGTATGTTTGAGGTCAGACTAGGCAACTCAACAGAATTCCACCTCACAATTGGTAGGGCTGTAGCTTACTGGTAAAGTACCTGGCTAGTGTGCTTGAGGTCCTTGGTTCAATCCCCATTGCTGAGGGGAGAGAAAAAAAGATTAATGGTGTCTCTTGTGCAAACTCTGGTTCTCCTAAAATTGATTGAAAGGAAGTTCCAAAGTGTTTTCAAAAAAGTAGATTGTGGCTGTCTGGTAGTTGTAACTATAGCATTGTGTAGACTCTACTAAAATCAGAAAATTTATATGTTCCCTAAGTTTCTTATATAAAATTCCACAAAGCAAAATAGGAAGCTATTATATACGAAGTCGTCCAAAGTACAGAAGCATAATGAAGAGTATCAAACAATGGGGATTTTCCACTTGTTGCAAAGGTTCTGGAACACGCCATTTAGTAGCCAGCTCAGCAGCAATTGATTACTTCCTGTTGGAGTGTAGCCTCTAAAGAGACACCCACCCCAAGCAAACCCATCGAGCTCTGGGGCTGTTATTCAGAGAACATAGCAGGCATGTTTCATGGGCAGTCGGACATGTCCCAGAGCGAAGTAGTTTCCATGTGAGTTTTCCCTGGCTTCCAGAAAAATATGCCCATACCCTCAAACTCAGTATGCTTATTTGTTCCAAGATAGATTCAAGTGGAAATGCCACAGTTTGAAACTGACTGCTGGGAATATGCTTTCAATTAGCCCTTTCTACTCTACTGTAACAGAGGAAAGTACTGAGCTGGGAAATAGAAAAAATAGGCAATGAAGGGTAGCCAGGTGGACTTGGGTGAATTTACTTCTCAAAGCATGGGTGAAGGCAGGGATGCTGTCCACACTATTTCTGGACTTTCTGTTGTTAAGATCCATTTTTGCAATGATTTTGTAAAACATATGTATGTGTGCATAAATGAAAGCTGTCCACATGCAATGAGGTCTACTTGAGGAAGGCTGTTAGTGCTTCTAAAAACAATAGATGAGATGAACACTACATGTGATCAAAACTGTCCTGAGACTCCCTCAACAATTCTTTGTGAGTCAGTGTTATCCTAAACTCTTCAATTATTTATTCAATTTTTTCTCTTGGTACAGTAACAAAACCATCATCAAATACTTATCCAGCCACTCCCTCCCCTTTTTATAATAGCAGGAAAATCTTTAATATCGTTCACTCCCTTTTCTTGTTCCCGCAATCTGCATTGGCTATCTTAGGCTCCTTTGCACCCACTTCTGTTCCATAGAAATGACACAAGGGTGACTGTCAAGCACATATTGTTTAATTTACATACGTTGAATCTGCACGTGTTACAACTACAGATCCTCGGCACTGTAGATGATTTTTACTGGTTTCAATCATTCCTTCTCAACTCCACAGACTCACAACATACACTAACTTTTGATTTTTCTGTGGCATTTATTTTAATCCAAAGGGATCTATGCACTTCCCAAATGAGACAGCCCAGCCACATCAGCACTAGACCTCTCTCGCTTGTTACCCAACAGAGAGGGCGCTGGAGCCTCCAGCCAGTAACCGTACCAATGTCAAAGCTCACGTGTGTGCCCGTCAGCATCTCTAAGGCACGTTTTAAACAACTTCCACTTAAGTGTGTGCAAAATACCATCCCCATTTATCTGACTTCTACCATGAAACAATGTTAATTGGGAGTATTTCTAAAATAAACCAAGATGTGTTTCATCCAGTTTCTGTCAATCATATAGCCACCAACTGAGCCAGAAAAAGATTAGCTGCAGCATGTTCTCCATGATATATTGGATATGTTGGCTATCCTCCAATTAGCCGTGATCTTCCTTTCTTCCTTAGAAAAATCGAATGCACAGACCCTGGAGAAAGTGGCAAGACACTTCATCTGCAATCTGCAACACTGTGGGCTACAGTTAGACCACTGAGGGCCATGGGAAGGTGTTCCCGACAGTAGAGGGGAGTGTGTGTACTTTTTCTTCTGTCCTTCTTGTTTATTTTTTTTCTGGTTCACCTAGTAGTAAGTCACTTTTCTTTTGCAGCATCTGCCACACCATCTGTCTCTGCTACAGTATCTGGCAACGATGGCGTGTTTTCCAATCCTCAAAAAAAAAAATCAGCCCCATATCTCCTTTCTTCTTTCTTATAATGCTGTGTCTCTCCACACAAAATCACTAACCATTCCTTGTGCTCTAGAAAGCTCAAATTCTTAATTCTGTCACTTTCCTAAGTCCCCAGTGTGGGCTTCAAAATTTTCTTTCAAGCCCACTGGACAAGAGAAAGTTCAGGACAACTTAAGTCATGTGGGACATGGATAGACAGAGCATTTGGGTGCCTGGGGATCTGTGCTAGAGGTTTTTGTCTTGGTTTTCTGGCCTTCTCAAGCGCCAGACTAATTTCACTGTTCCAGGGATAAAGTCATTGGGTGTGACCATGGTCAGAAATGGAGGCTATAAAATGTGGACCACTTGTAAATAATAGCAAAAAGAGAAGACCTGTTTCAGTTTATATGGCTCTTAAAATTGGTTGAAGTGAGCATATGATGATTTTTCAGTTCAATTAAATTTTAATTAATTTTTACTTTAAAGAACACTTGAATTTGAGTCTTCTTGCTTTTCATTAAGAGATTTTTGCCAAAACTAATCTCTTAATATTTCTGAGTTGTTAAACATTATTCCCATGCTAACTGCTGTTCTATGTATTGTTTTCTTTTTGCAAATTAGTGTAGACATAAAGCAATTTAAATGTTTCAACTTCAAATAAGAATCAAAATTAACTTCACTTAATTCCTATAATACTAGGTCAAATAATTTCATCTAGAAGGATTTACCTCTTTCTAAGCCATTTCTTTTAGTATTGTCATTGGCAAACAGCGATCTATGGGCACTCAGAAATCTAGGATATCTAACAACAACTCTGACAGCAGAAAACATTGCAGCACCCACAAATTATCAATAGTTGATCAATTCCACAATACTGGACGATATATTTAACTCTTCAAGTACAGTTCTCAAATAAAAGTGCCATTACCTAAAGCTTAATAATGTTGTTTAGCCACAGAAGATCACCCCTTCTGCCTTTTATTATCTTCCCTGCAAGGTCCTCAATCTGTCCATATAAAACATAATAGCGGGAAGACATTTTCTGCAAGTATGCATCTGAGCAGTTCATCAGAAATATAATGAAGCCATATATGCAATTACAATTTTTCATTACTTTTA